CAGTTGAACAACAGCTACATCTATTATATAAAATGTATGGTAGTTGGCACTGATGGTATAATCAAAGAATACAAAGCTCACTTCTATAAATGTTATCCACTAGTAAGGCAAAGTCTCACTCAACAAACACTCTGGTAATGTATATCACCTGAATCCAAAATCTATGCAAGTTGTTCTGGGTTAGATTTAACTGCTCAATAACCCTGAAAATGTATGTTACATCCAGCATCAGAAGCAGGATGCATCATCTATGTTTACTGATCACCAAAGAGTATATTGTTACTTTGAATGAACCTTCTCTAAAAAACTGGTCATTAATCTAGAAAATCTAAGTCAAATCAAGGATTGGTACCCTGAAACATTAACATACATCATCTATGCAGGTTTGTTCAACATACAGTTTATAATTACATGAGAATAGGACTGCTCAAAACACTTACTCTTGTGGAGTCCCCCATGTGGCGCAAAGGCTAGAGTGTGTAATCTAGAGTCGCAAGTAAGGATTTAATCCTTAAGTCTCAGGTTCAGATCCACTGGGGATGTGGGGACCAGTCCTTCAGATTCGACCGTATAAACCGAGGTCCCACCTCGCAGTTGATGTGGGCACAAAAGAGATCCCTTATTGCTCAATGACCCTGAGTGCTAAGTATAGGTCAAATTTTGCAGCTCTCCACCAGTAAGTAGTGGCATCTCCATATGGATGAAAAATTCTTGAGAGGGATGTTAAACAACAAACAAACAAAAACAAAAAACACATGAAGAAAATGTTGATCAGGTCAAGCATCTGAAGTAAATCTGTTAATGTGCTTTAATCCATGCAAGTTTGTCCAGTTAGAGCTTAGGAATAAACCTTGCTCCTTATATTTTAACTGGGATGACAATGCTAGGCATATAGCAAGAACTCATCTAGACTGTCCAGAAAAGCTTAAGAATATTTAGCAATATCTTACTTGCATGATTTAAAAAAATCTGCAATCTAACATTATTCTAAAACAATTTCAATAAAGTTTCTAATTTTCAACAAATTCAATGCACTATGAGATGAATTACATTTCTAAACCACATACACTCTACTTAAAGTGCAATATACATGCATTATACTGTATGTTAAATCTTTACAGTTCTCTTCAAGTACTCTAATAGTATATAAAATATGAAGATTACCAAAAGTGATCAAGCTTTAAAGTCCATTGAAACAATACAAAATTGGAGCAGAGCAAACACAGACCTCTAAAAACACCAAGTGCTATGGAGGAGAAAGCATTTTCTGCCATGTGCTCCTTGACATGATTGGGCAAATGGAAAAATCCACAAACAATTCAGTGTAAACAATTTTGATGAAAAACATTAGTCAACATTCAACTTAATGATAGATTAAATTTGCTATAACAATTAATTTACATGTAAGTGTACACACATGTATGCATACCCAATTTTACTAAATGAATTATTTCACAATATCCAAAATTGGACAATAATATATAGTTTCTAATCTAGCCAGACAACAGGAAATTTTCATTATCACTTAAATTACATGAAACTATTGATGTCTGTGAGCTACAAATTATATCTAAAAATTATATACATTTTAACAAGTGTTTACAGTTTAGTGTATTTATTATACACAAATGATGACTTAATTAGTAAGACATACCAGTAAAGTCCACAGACTGACTTCCAGATTTCAGCTCAAAGGCTTGAAGATTTTTAGTGGCTTTTTCTCTCATAATTTATTTTTCACTGAATATTTTCATTTTTTTTTTCAAGACACTGTTTTTGTTGAGGTCTTTTAGCAGTTTGATGCAATCCAAGAACTCTGAGGGCAATTTAAGAACTCCTGAATTTCTTTCTTACCGGGCAAAAATAAAAATTTAAAAGTTTGAAATATATTCAACTTACATGAAGAAAACTAGTAAAACTAGCGATAATGTAATAGACCTTTCAGATGTTCCAAAGCAGCTACATGTACCTTATTAAAAAATATAAAGTTTGAAGTATTTAGAGTCACCTGTATTCTGAACAAGGGATATGTGTATTTGACAGACAGATGAATGAATAGACTGATCACTATAGAGCACCTTAGTCTTTTTTCAATAATCATTATATTAGTGAAAATAAAATAGGAACTAGAGTGCTTCAAGGAATGTATATGTCGCCTGCTAGGCAGTGTTCGAAATTAGCGTCGGCCCGTCGGTCCTGCGCCGACGTACAAACTGAAGGACTCACGAATAGTATGACTAAATGGGTCCTTGAAATAATTTTGGGCCGATGATTTGCCGGGAAATAAGTTAACGTCAATCACATCTTCTCAGACCGTTGTTTTTCTTTACCGCTTGTTGGAAAGGCGTAAGAAGTTGCGATTAAAGTTTAGGTATATTGGTGTATGTATTTACATTAACTTTTATATCTTTCCTGCATTTTAACATGTTTAATTAGATATATTAAACAAATTAACCAATGAGCGTCTAATGAGCGTCTTTAAACCAAATTGGACTTATGATGGGCAAAACTTGTTATTTTTATCAAGATCGTATAATTTCTTCTTTCATGTGTATTTTAAATAAATACTGAAGATTTGATTTCTTTTCTGTATGGAATAAAGTTACGTTATATGTATGCGGTTACATTTTATCAACATATTGTGGCAATCTATGAAACCTGCGTAATTTTTTACCCGCGGATTTACAAACAGAAATTATATTTCTGAGGAAAAGTATGTATATAGTAATATAATTTAATTTTGGTTGTAAAGCGTCATTTGATTGGATAAAAAAAATAGAAAATAGCGTATAACCTTGGTTGCCTATGTCACAATGACTTACGTTAAAATGTATCAATCCGCTTGACGTTACATTTAAAATACGTACAATTTAAGGGCATTTTTGAAGGAGAAATTGTTTTATTTTTTACACTTAATGATGGGAAATTAAATTATAAGGAATAACTTTAATAGCTACCCAAGTTATACTGGTATAACCTGGGTTGGAACAGTTTACGCTTTTTTATAAACCGCTTCGCGGTTTATAAAGCGTAAACTGCCCCAACCCAGGTTATACCAGTATAACTTGGGTAGCTATTAAAGTCACTCCTTAAATAAACACATGTCAAACTCATTAAATGTTATATATGACCAAGTAAGACAGTGTGATGATTAATATCTTACCGTTTCAAATTGTTAATACTTGCGAATTGTAGATACCCTTTATTAAATTGACATATTTCATATGAAGCGATAAACTTACCAAGACCATCGATACGTAAAAGTTTATTTTCCCAAAATATTTAATGGTATTATTTTTTGGCCTGCGCTGCCCTGAAAGGACTCGTGTAGTCCCTTTATCTGTGGGTCCTCTGGACCCATAGAAAATAATTCTGAATTTCGAACACTGCTGCTAGGTATCTTCATTAAAGAGGTAAATAAATCTAAGAGTGGTCAGCTATTAATTTAATATTAGCATGGAGGTTCATGCATTTGCCTGCAAGGAAAAAAAAGGATCCAAAAGTAAAAGACTGGGATAGAATCTGGCAATCAAAAAATATAGTTCCCCAGTCCTTATATGAATAATTAAATTGAAATTATGATGAATAACTATTTATCATTTTATTAATACACATGCAGGTGCTTCCAACAATCCTCGGAGGAAAGAGATTTCAGACTGTCTTTACTTTGTCACTTTGTCAGTCAACACGATTCATTGTAGAATACTGATCCCAATGTATTTTCATAGTATTTAAATAAGTTTGTGGTAACTGAATTTCATACAGTTTCAAAGTATAGTATCATGAGCTCAAAAACATATATAAATGCTAATTATCAAAACCCTGCCTCTAAAAATTTTGGAGATATAAGGTGTGACAGACGGACAGACAGACACCAGGTAAAGTGATCTCTAAGTGTCGTTCTGCTCTGCAGTTGACACAAAAATGAAACTTAGTCAATTTTTGAGCATGCATATCACTTCAGTGATGAAAGGAATGCTGAAGTGGTAAGTCTATCCTAATTATTTGAAAATACGGCAACCCCATTGGTCAGAATATAATACATATGCTGTCCAGCCTTAATTTCATTGGCATAAAGCAGCACAAAACAAGATTTGATTGGATGGTGCAACTTGTTTTTCTAGGGGGCGCTGTTGCAACCCTGGAAAAGAAAATAGGACTGGGGCTTGCCCTTTGGGGGCACTTACTGACCGAAAGTAAACAACAGAAATAGCAAATTACACTAGAAATATGTCCATAGGCCATGAATGCCCCGCCGAGTGTATAGTAATGCAACATGAAATTTTGTGTTAGTATATGAAGTTTGATGAGAATATCTTGAAAAGTTTCTTTAAAATTGAAATAAAAATTTTTAAAAAAATGAATAGATGATAAGTTCTCACCAAATTATGTATAGATGCATAGCCTTAGATAACAATATCTTAAATGGTTTAAAACCATGCAAGATGCAAATTAAAGAAAAGTGAGGTCAAGGTCACAGGAAAGGTCAAAAATTTTTGAAATAGTTGAATAGGTCTTACTAATCTTACAGCATATTAAGTTTGATAAAAAATATCTTGAATGATTTCTTTAAAACTGAGCTAGTCACAAGCGTGGCGCCATGGTTAAAGCGTCTGCTCTAGAGTCACGAAGTAAGGAATTGATCCTTACATCACAGGTTTGAATCCCACTGTGGGATGTGGACACCAGTCCTTCGGATGAGACCTTATAAACTGAGGTCCCATGTCGCAGTAGGTGCTGGCAGGAAAAAGGACCCTCACTGCTCAATGGCTGTGAGTGCAGAGTATAGGACAGAATTTGCAGCTTTCCACTGGCAAGTGGTGGCGTCTCCATATCAGTGTATAATTCCCAATAGGGGCTGCAGATTACCTGTTATGATTGACCAAAATCCCTACTAGGCTTTAAACTCTTCATTCTTGACCTGTATATCGTCAAATGAGATTTGTCCAGTTAATTAAGGTAAAAATTACTAATTGATAAAACTGTAAATGATTTTTGTTTTACCTGAGTCAGATTTTTACTTTTCTTAAAGGTGTCTGGATTTGACTGTTGGTTCCACCTATCTCAAGGAAATGATCTGTAACAGTAAATGTTAGAAATCATAATCTGTTCTCTATCTCCTATAATCACGAGAAAAGGTGTTAAAAATTAACAGATGGAGATAAAATCAGCAGTCATATTAAAGGCTTTTTTCAATCATCAATTTATTAGTGAAAATCATAAAAGTATTAGGCAAAAATGAAAAATAAATGTTGTCATTAATTAACCTTGCATATCTCTACAATTTTCTGATAAGAAAATTTATACCCGATAGATGCAATATAATCACCCTTTGCCTGCCCCTAAATTAAATTATGAAATTTTGATAGATTTTGATTTAAGCAATTATTTAAAACAAGGTTTTTTTAGGGGCACGTACCCCTGCTTTAGATTTATATAAAAAAAAAAACTACAAAAAACGTGAAAACCTATTTCTATCTTACTGGTTTATATTTATTACAAATGTCCTCATAGTCAGCATAGCCCAGAATGGTAGACCGCAGACTCTCACCATGAACATTTTTAGTGTCCTGGTTCGAATCCATTTGTTGGCACATTTTTATTTTTTCAAACTTTTTACCTGTATAAACATTAAAGAACGAGTGCACTTATGGGCCCCGGTAAAATGTGAAATAATGAAGAATCAAATTAAGCTTAATTTTCCATCTCAGATCATTAATTGATATCTAAAACCCTAAATTCAACAAATTTTATTGCTGAAATTCATGAATATACAAAGAGCAAAGCCATACAATGTGGTAGGGGTCAGCCAACATTCGTGATTTTCTATAGTAAATTGAGGACAGTCATTCATTTCAAAGCTTTTGTTTATTGTCAGCCTAACGTTGTACAAACTTGTGTGATTGACAAAAAATGCATTATACATTTATAAAACTTGTGTGAAAGTAGGAAATTTGTACAAGATTAGGCTTGTACTTAAAATATTAAAAAAATGTGTGAAAAGTTCAATGTTTTTCCTATAGCAAGTAAGAGCTTAGATTTACCTGTATGATCTAGCTATGTTGAACCCACCCATGGAATAAATTATTTAAAATACCGGTAGTCACGTGAGTTCTACCCAGGTAAACATTCCTCAAAGATGCTCACTGTAAAGCATAGCCACGTTTTGTATCATTATATCAAAGTCATGCCGCATAGAGAAGTTTGTATGTACATGTATTTGGTTTTAGGAAAACGGGAGGGTTAGGAACACAGAAGGGTTAAGAGAGTTTAGTGTCGTTAAAATGTCATCATAAATAAAAGTGTCAAACATTTTTAACATTCAAGCAAGACAATGGTACCAGTATTGAAAGCCACCCAAATACACCTTTTTTCATTTTAAAATATAAAGGAACTAATGTTAATACTTATTGCATTATTTCAAATCCAAGCATACCAATTTCATAGTTTGATCACTATGGATACAGGCATCTATACAACTTCATTCAATTTTTTTCTCGGGTAAAATAGCGCAAGAAGTATCATTCGGCAAATGTGCCTGTCAATGATCCACCATCAGATTGTTCAAGTGTCTGATTTAAGATTTAAATGCCTCCTCCCCTTGATTTAAATAAACGATTGAAACTCAAAATGGGTTTGATATGACTTTCCGGATCTATAGGCATTTAAAAAACTTCATTTGTTTCAAATCCATGCTGATTGATGTTTTAGCGTGATTTTAATTAGAAATGTCCACTTGTGTTTAACTATTACTAAAAGAGAACAATTTGGTAATATATTCTAAAGTAATACAGCACTGAAAATGGGCCCATTAAGCATTCCTTAAGTGCACTTGTCCTTGCACTTTGATTTTTTTATACAGGCTTTTGCATTTTACTTATATTTTCTTCCTTAAATGCATGTTTGGTGTTGATATAAAAGACATCTACAGAAATGCAGATCATAAATTCTCTTTAACTAAATGCAATCAACCGGAACTATACCTCATTGTAAGCACACTTTGTTCGAGGACACTAATCATTCACTTTGTGTTACTCGATACTGCAGGTGTCAGGAAAAAGAATCTTGCTGAGCAATAACTGCTGTGTTTTCCTTTCAAGAACATAATGACATGTAATAGTACTGTTGTGCCAGTGGGAGAGATACTGTTCTATGCAGAGTAGATGCAGTTCATTCCTTGGGAAAAATGTGTGCATTGGCGATATGTTATGCTAAAAATGCATGAGGGTTTTCAGATTAGAAAAGAATGTGGTAAGGTCAGTTAAGGTTTTATGTCCCATTGCCATTACTCAGTCAGACATCAAGAATGACCCTCATACAAAGGATGTATAATTCTGTAAATACTGAGGTAGGATCATATGAACACACAGTTGACTAGAATGAAATATATCGAGATAACAAACAGTATTCAAGCTCAAAAGCCCATCAAAAAATACAAAATAGGAGCAGAGCAAACACGGACCTCCAAAACATCAGAGGTGGGATCAGGTGCCATGGAGGAGTAAGCATCCCCTGCAGACCGGTCACACACGCTATGTGCTCCTTGTCACAACTGGGAAACAATGGAAAAATCCATCGATAATTCAGTGTGTAAATAATGGCCTAACAATAAGTATGAAAAACGTCACTCAGCATTTGACTTAATGATAAATTGTATTTGCTGACAAAGTCATTGTATCGACCATAGAATTTACAAAATGATAACTTTAAACAAGACTGCTGATATTCTTGTTTCAGCAACTTATTTGTCAATAACTTACCTCGTTTTAAAAAAATTTCAAACATAGAGGATGCTCTTTCGTATCAAATCAACTGAGAGATATAAACCCTGTATGCAGGTGATGAAGGTATATTGCTAAATAAGTAAGGGAAGTTGACAATTGAAAAGTTAAAGCCATCTCATTTGTCATAAAGCTTGGTTGTTAGATTACCATTAACGTAGAACTAAAGCAATACATGAGAAACAAGAAACTACACACATGTGGCCTAAAGTCAGTGATCGGAACATACATCGATAAGCTTTTTCTAAAGACTGAAACCAATATTGGTCCTAAGGTCAACTCAAATTTTTAACTAGAAGTGTTCCTTTGATATACTATATTTTACTTATTTTCTATAGACTTACTATACCCTGAAAAAAAAAATGGAAAACAGGAACTAGCTGTTTAAATGACCTCGACCACCGAGGTTAATCTAAAGTTTGTCCCTGCCTACCTGAAAAACAGACTACCTCGGGCAGTCAGTAATTTCCAACTCTGGTTATGAGATGCTAAATGTTCAATATTTACAATCAAATGCTTATATTTACATTTTTAAATTCAGGATAGATTGAGAAAGTCAATAAAATCACTTCTATATTATGTCTGTATACTTCAACTGAAAAATTAGTTGAAACTGGTTCCAGAAAAGAAGCTGAAAATGTTCAATAGTTTACAGACAACACTTGAAACATGATGACTGAACAAACACAGATAGCAATAAGTAATTTAAATGACTCAGGTGAATTATAACCTGTTCAATCTAATAGATCCATCTTTTTTCTAATACGACGGTTGATCCAAAAGTTTGTGAAATTTAATTATCTCTAAAATTTTATTGTGATTTGATGAAAGCAAACAATAGGCATATTTATAATATGGAGTCTTTATGCAACAATACTGGATATTTTCACCATGTTCCAATTACCAATAAGGTCACACGAGCTTTCTGAACATTGATAGTTGTAAAATCAGGGGGAGACTTCTACGTAACGTCAAGTTAAGTATGTCATGTCACATTATAGGAGCGTTATAGGAGCATCTCACCCTCATGTTCAATTCGACTAAGTAATTCTACAGAATATTCTGCCTTTTTCTCCTTTTCTCTCTTAAGAAAAGCCTTGGTATCCTCTCACACGGATCAACTTATCTTAATATTACACTCATATTTCAAAAATACTCCCCATCTTTGCATATGGTGTTCCAATTTCAGAAGCAAAGTCAAGCACAGTACGTCAGCGGTCAACGTCCATCAACGCTTAATAGCGATTCTCTGTAACCACTTGAACTTCTTTGCCACGCATGGTCACCGATTTTGATAAAACTTTGCCTATTATTACAACTTGACACCAGAAACATATATCAAATAAAATCCCGTTGCCATGGGTCTTGGTTGCCATGGTAACAGCCAGAAAAGTTGAAAAAATTGAGATTTTCAGCTACTTTGAATCTTTATTAAGCCTTAATAAAGACTAAGAAAAACAAACAAACCATTCTCCTAAAAACATGACACCTTGTTTCCACTTATGCTATAAAGAAACTATTTAGAATTTATCTCTAAGTAATGGTAACCATGGGTACATTTGAAATACGTTTTAGATGCTGAAAAATGCTGAAAAACGCTCAATATTCACAAATGAAAGATGTTACATGATCAAACTCAATCAACAACGTAAGAAAAACAATAAAAAATATTTGACCTCATGTAATTAGGTATTGGCAATATTATTCTAAAAATAATTTTCATGGTTGCCATGGTAACACAGTGTCACCATGCAAAATCTGTTGCTATGATTGGGTTAATGCTACTATCGTGAGGAAAAACAATAAAATTCATGACTGGCACATATGCATCCTTAGGACCTTGCAACACCGACAACATAAGAAAAATTGAGATTAATTGTTGCTTTGCAGTGTAACCATGGAAACAACGTACTAGTTGTTTAATGTGATATTTTTTTTGCTGCTTAAGGAATTTACTAACCTTTTAATCAAGAAAAATATTATTTGAATCACCCTGAATAGTATTTATCTCGTAGAACTAAAGTTGAATATCATATATTGATAAAGGTTGTTGAAAAATACAACACTGTTGCTATGGTTACCAAGAAGAGAAAATGTTCGATTTTGTTAATTTTTTGTCAATATTAGACCCTATGTGCCAGCTTTTTGCATCCAGTAAGAGATTGGGTGATAGTCAAAATTTAAAGTCAGGTTAGTTGTTCACATATATCAATCATTAAAGTTTCGGGAATCTACATACAACGGTACGTATCCAAGGAAACAGAGTATTTTTCAGATTTTTATGCATATTTTTTTG